TCCCAGGTGGGGATTCAGGTCAGCTCCTGAGGAAACCCTCATGGCTCAAATGCTGACCCTCGGCAATCCTATGGCCTGGCTCATGGCCCATGACCCAAGCAGGAGCCACTCACCTATGCTGGTCAATGCCAGGGAGTCTGCTGGGTGAAAGAGTTCACTGAAAGACACAGGGGAGAACAGGGGCTCAGGAAGGAGCAGCCAAAATGCCCCGCCTCCAGGAAAGCAGAGCGCTGACACCAAGCCCACACAGGGAGCTTGGGCTGCCTCACGGGGGAAAGAAGACAGAGTTGGGCTCCCAACGAGGTGCCCTTCAGGGCTTCCAGGTCTCCAGTCCAAAATACAGTGGCCCTGCCCGGGACCTCATTGATTCCCAGTATCCTCTTCCAAAATTGTCACCTAGGGTGGGCCTCAGCGTAATCCTATTGAGCATGATTTTTAAGTCATCACCTTTCTTCAGGACAATATAAGGTTCTCATCATTGACCCAACCCAGGGCACATTCCTCCCCACGCATGCATCCAGTGGGACCCGGATGTTCTCACCATAGCTCAGTGTAGGAGACCAGGGCACCAGGAAGGGCATGAGTTTCAGCACATTGGGGTCTGGCATCTGACTGATGGACACTGGCTTGGGGCCAGGGGACCCAGGAAGAGTCTTCCTCCAGGTTCACTATCTGCAGGGACGGGGGTCATGTGTCGAAACAGGGCCTCACATCTCCATGTGGGAAAGGGAGCAAGGGGTGCCTGCTCACACATGCTGTCTCTCCATGGACCCATGTGATGGGATCCATGTGAAACACTGACAGTAATGCTCCCAGGGAACCCTTGGCTCTCCCCGCCACTGAACCCTAGAAGTCTGACCCTATGGGCCCGATTGCCCACCTCTCTCTGGGGATGGAGAGCCCCCCGCACAATCCCCATGGCACCCTGGAGCCCCTGTTGTCCTGCTCATGGGGCCTGGGCAGTCCTCAAGGTCAGACCTCATGTCAGCAGGGAGCTGCCCCGCATGAGATTGAAGGAACCCTTTCCAGCCTGGACCACCATCACCCCTGCAGGGCTTCAGTGAAGGTGTCCTCTTGGTGTCAGATTCCCCAGGAAGCCACTGTTCTGGAGGACCAATCCATCCCTCCATGGTGGGGATTCAGGTCGGCTCCCTGAGGAAACCCTCCTGTCCCGAAGGCTGACCCTCAGTGACCCCATGTGTCTGCCTCATGGCCCATGAACCCAGCAGGATCCACTCACCTATGCTGGTCAATGCCAGGGGACCCATCTGAGCAGAAGAGCTCACTGAAAGAATCAAGCGGAGAATAAGGGTTCACAAAGGAGCCACCAACCTGACCTGCCCCCAGAAAACCAGAGTGCCAATACCTAGCCTGCACAGAGATCCTGGGCTGCCTCACAGATGAGTATAGGGACAGGGTTGGGCACCCCCCAGATAGCCTTCAGGGCCTCCAGGTCTCCAGCCAAAAATACAGGGGCCCTCCTGGGGACTTCAGGAGCCCAGCATATTCTTCCAAAATTCTAACCTAGGCCGGGCCTCAGCATAATCCTTTTGAGCATGATTTTTAAGTCATTACCTCTCTTCAGGACAATATAAAGTTCTCATCATCGACCTAACCCAGGGCATCTTCCTCCTCACTGCTGCATCCAGCAGTACCCGAATGGGCTCACCAAGCTCAGTGCAGGAGACTAGGGCACCAGGAAGGGCCTGAGCTTCAGTACACTAGGGGCTGGACACCGGGCTGATGGACACTGGCCCAGGGCCATTGGGCCCAAAACAGTTCTTCCTCTGGGGTCACGATCTGGGAGAACAAGAGTAGGACAGTTGTCCAAACACAGCCTCATTCCTCCATGTGAGCAGAAAGTGGGGTGTGGCAGTTCAAGCATACTCGCCCTCCATGGACCCATGTGTTGGGATGCACGTGGAACACTGGCCCATCACGGACACAGGGCACCCAGTGCTCTTAGCCACAGAACCCTGGAAGGACAGGGCAGGCGGGTCACTGGGACCCTACTGACTCACCCACACAACCCGAGGGTCACGCCAGGACTACTAGGCACAGGCCAGGGCCACCAACCAGTTCACGGCAAACCAAGGAGGCTGGCCTGGATGTCAGATGCCACTGCAGACCTGGCAGTCACATAGCCTATTCCTGTGCATGGTGGGCACCCACCCAGATGCCCTTTCCCAACACATACTGGAAATAGCAACCTGGGGTCCCAGGGCCACATGTTTTCTCTGGTGGGTCCACATCCATGCCCTACACACCTCCTGAACACAGAGCAGTGCTACAATCAGCTAATCAGGGGACACACAGCATCTTCTCCTGTCCTTGGGCCCAACATCCGCTACCCTGGAGGTGACCCCATGACTCAGAAGCAGCATGGGCCGCATATTCCAAGGACAAGACCCTCGACAGTAGGCCTTCCAACCTCAAGGCAACCATTCCCGACACTTGACCATTGGGAAGGGATGACTTCCAGCCACAGGGAAGGGGGGACTTCCAGCCACGGGGAAGGGGGACCTCCAGTGGGAGCAGGCTGACCTCTTGGCCCAAAGCCGACGAGTCCATGGCCAGACCTCAGCACCACCAGGCGCCGGCCAGAGCTCAGTCTTGACCCAAACCTAGGGAAACAGTACCACCCCCCTCAAGGCTCAACAAGGCCCATGGAATGGCTCATTACTCAACAGGGTCTGTCCCATTCACGGCCATGCATTGGGCACAATCCTTAAATCTCTACAGCTCAACTCCATGGCCCTATTACCCACCTTTCTCCATGAATGGAGAGCTTCTGTGTGACCCCCATGGCGTCCCAGAGCCCCTATTGGCCCCTCAGGTGGCCTGGGCAGTCCTTGAGGCCAGACTCGAACACCTAGACTCATCTGGGAGCTACCATGTGTAAGACTGAAGGAACCCTGTCCTGCTTGGACCACTGTCATCCCTGCAGGGCTCCAGGGAAGGCATCCCCCTTAGGTCCAATTTCCCAGGAAGCCACCCTCCTGGTGGACCAACCCATCCCTCCCCAGTGGGGATTCAGGTTCGCTCCCTGAGGAAACCCCCCTGTCCCAAAGGCTGACCCTCAATGACTCCACGTGGCCTGGCCCATGGCCCATGTTGGCAGCAGGATCCACTCACCTATGCCAGTAAATGCCAGGGTGCCCTGCCTGGGTTGAAGACCTCACTGAAAGACACAAGTGGAGAAGTGGGGCTCAAGGAGGAGCTTTCACGTGCCCCCCGCCAAGGGAACTGGACCACCAACAGCAAGCCCGCACAGGGAGCATGGGCTGCCTCACGGAGGAGTGCAGAGACAGGGTTGGGCCCCCCAGATGCCCTTCAGGGCCCCAAGGCTCTAGCTCAAAACTAATAAATAAAGTCCCCTACCGGGGACTTCGGGATCCCAGCATCCTTTTCCAAATTCTCACCTAGGGTGAGCCTCAGCGTAATCCTATTGAGCATGAATTTTAAGTCATAACCTCTCTTCAGGATAATATAAGGTTCTCATCATCGACCCAACCCAGGGCACCCCCCTCCCCATGCATGCATCCAGCGGGACCCAGATGTGCTTACCACAGCTCAGTGTAGGAAACCAGGACGACAGGTAGGTCCCAAGCTTCAGCACACCAGGGTGGGCACCTGGCTGATGGCCACTGGCCTGGGTCCATTGGGCCCAATGCAAGTCTTCCTCCAGGCTCACCATTTGGGGGGACAGGAAGAGGACATGTGTCCCAACAAGGACTCATCCTTCCATGTGGGGAAGGGGTAAGGTATACCCATGTGATGGGGTCCATAAGAAACACTGACCTATCATGGACATGGGGAGCCCTTGGCCCTCCCCATCACCAAATCCTGAGAAAACAGGGTAGGTAGGTCTGGGCTCAGGCAAGATGCCCAGACTGCACCCTACTGACGGCCTTGATAGCATCTCCACTGCCCAAGCTGTCTGCCCCACACAATTCCAGAGCCACTCCGGGAACACAGGGCACAGGGAACCAACCAGCTCATGGCCAGCCAAGGAGAGTGGCCCAGAAGCTCTATGTCACTGTGGACATGGAAGATGCATAGCCTGCCCCAGGGTGTGGTGGGCACCTGCCTAGGTGCTATTTGCAAGCCACACCCGAAATCAAAGCCTGGAGTCCCAGAGCCACATGCTTTCTCTGGCGGGTCCCCATCCATATCCCACAAATGTCCTAAACACAGAGTCAGACCACCCTTGGGCAACCATGGGCTACATAGTGTCCTCTCTTTCCTTAGACCCAAGACATCACCAGCCTGGAGGTGACCCCATGGCTCAGAAGAGGCCTGGGTGGCATATTCCCAGGACAGGACCATCGACAGTGGGTCTTCCGACCTCAGGATCCACTCTTCCAGCCCCTCACCAACCGGCAAGGGGTGATCTCTAGCAGGACCAGGCTGCCAAATGGACCAAAGCCCAGAAGAACCTGGGCCGGCCTGCAGCATCACCAGGTGCTGGCCACAGCTCAGCCTTCACCCAAACCCAGGGAAACAGCGCCGCCCCCCACCAGGCTCAAAGAGGCACCATTGAGATGGCCAATTACTCAACAGTCGGTCTCAGTTAGGGCCATGGTTGGGATGCAATCCTTGAATCTCTGTGGCCTGAACCCACAGGCCCATTCGAGCACCTCTCCAGGAAAAGAGAGCTCTCGTGTGACCCCTGGGGCACCCCAGAGCACCTGTGACACCCGTCATGTAGCCTGGGCTGTCCTTCAGGCCAGACCTGCAAGACAAGTCTCAGCTGGAAACTGCCCCACATGGGAATAAGGGGACACTTTCCTGCCTAGACCACTGTCATTCCTGTAAGGCTTCAGGAAAGGCATTGTCTTGGGTCTGATTCCCAATGAAGCCAGCCTCCTGGAGAAACCACCCCTCCCCAGTGGGGATTCAGTTGGCTCCCTGAGGAAACTCTTCTTTCCCAAGGGCTGACCCTCAGTGACACCACATGGCCTGGCTCATGGCCCACAATGCCAGCAGAATGCACTCACCTATGCGCGTCAATGTCAGCTGGCCCACCTGGGCTGAAGAGCTCACTGAAATACAGAAGACACAAGAGGAGAACGGGGGCTCAGGAAGGACCCAGCAAGGTGCCCTACCCCGGGGAACTGGAGAGCCAACACCAAGCCCACAGAGGGAGCCTGGGCTGCCTCACGTAGAAATGCAGAGACAGGGTAGAGCTCCGCCAAGATGCTGTTCAGGACCTGGATTTCTCCAGTCCAAAATACAGAGCCCCTGACAGAGACCTAGAAATCCCAGCATCCTCTTCCAAAATTCTCACCTAGGCTGGGCCTCAGCGTAATCCTATTGAGCATGATTTTTAAGTCATCACCTCTCTTCAGAACCATATAAGGTTCTCATCATTGACCCAACCCAGGGCACCAACCCCTCAACCCATGCCTGCATCCATTGGGACCCAGATGGGCTCACCACAGCTCCGTGCAGGAGACCAGGGCACCAGGAAGGGCCAGAGCTTCAGCTTTTCAGGGGCTGAGCACCCGGCTGAGGGACACTGTGTCAGGGCCAGCAGGCCCAAGGCAATTCTTCCTCCAGGGTCACCATCTGGAGGGGTGAGGGACAGGTGTCCAAACAGGGCTTCATGCCTCCATAAGGGAAAGGGGGCAGGGGGTGCTAGCTCACACATGCTCTCCCTCCATGGACTCATGAGATGAGATCCATGTAACAGTGACGGTCATGCATGTGAGGAACCCTTGGCCCCCGCTGCCACTGAACCCTGAAAGAACAGGGCAGATGAATCATGGGATTCCAGCAAGACGCTTAGGCTGCACCCTATTGTAGGACCCTGGAGCACCTCCACTGCCCACACCAGCTCCCCCACACAACTCTGGGCCTTAATGGGACCACTGGGCAGGGCCAGGACCACCAACCAGCTCACGGCAAACCAAGAAGGCTGGCCTGGACGCCATGCGCCACTGCAGACCTGGCGGTCACATAGCCTGCCCCTGGGCATGGAATGCACACATTCACGCACCCTCCATAAGCTCACACCAGAAATACCATCCTGGGGCCCCAGGGCCACGTGCCTTCTCTGGTGGGTCCCCATTCATGCACCTCACACCTCCCAAACACAGAGCTGGGCCACGCTTTGCCAATCAGGTGCCACTTAATGTCTTCTCCTTTCCTTTGGCTCAAGACCCCATCACCCTGGAGGTGACCCCATGACTCAGAAGCAGCCTTGGCAGCAAATTGCTGGGACAGGACCCTTCACAGTGGCCCTTCCACCACAGGATGCCACCCTTCTGGCCACTCCACAATGGGGAGGGGTGAACTCCAATGGGACCCGGGCTGCACCCTTAGCCCAAAGCCCACGATTCCCAGGGCCAACCATGAGGTGACAGCCAGAGCTCAGCCTTGACCCAACCCCACCGAGGCTGCGCCAACCCCACCGAGGCTGCGCCACCCCCACCAGGCTCAAGGTGCCACCACTGGGATGGCCCATTGCTCCATTGCTCAACAGGGTCGGTCCCATTCCGGGCCATAGGTCATTCCTGACCCTTGAATGTTCAGGGTCTGACTCTGTAAGCCGGATCAGCCACACACTGTCCCCCTGCAAGCCTCAGGGACAGAGAGCTCCCATATAAGACTCCTGGCCCTGGAGACCCTGGGAATGCCCTCATGTGGCCTGGGCAGTCCTCCAGGACTGACCTGTGCACCAAGTCTCAGCTAGGATCTGCACTGCATTGGGTTGAAGGAACCCTCTCCTGCCTGAACCTCTGTTACTTCCACAGGGTTTCACGGAAGGCGTCCTTCTTGGGACCGATTTCCAAGGAAATCTCCCAACTGGAGAAACCATCCATCCCTGGTGGGGATTCAGGTCAGCTCCTTGAGGAAACCCTCATGACCTGAAGCGTGACACTCAGGGACCCCACCTCGGCCTGGCTCATGGCCCATGACCCCAGTAGGATCCATTCACCTGAGGCCCATCACCATGGAGATGACCCCATAGCTCAGAAGCAGCCTGGACAGCAAATTTCTGAGACAGGATCTTCCACAGTAGGCCTTCCCACCTCAGGAGGACACTCTTCCTGCCACTCGCCCACAAGGAAGGGGTGACCCCGTTGGGACATGGGTCATCCCCTTGTCCCTAAGCCCACCAATCCCAGGGTGGGATTGTACCACCATCAGATGCTGGCCAGAGCTAGTCTCGACTCACCCTGAGGAAACAGTGCCGACCCGCACTTGTCTCACAGAGGCACCACTGGGATGGCTGATTGCTTAATAGGGTCAGTCCCATTCAGGGCCATGGGTTTGGTGCGATCCTTTAAAATCCACAGCCCAGCCCTATGGGCCGAATCACATACACCTCTCTAAGGTCAGAGAGCCTGTGCAGGAACCCCTTGGTGCCCCAGAGCCCTTGCGTCCTCCTTCATGTGGCCTGGCCATCCTAGAGGCCAGACCTGAGGACCGAGTCTCAGCGGGACACTGCCCTGCATGAGGTGGAGGAAACCCTTTAATGCCTGGACCACCACAACCCCTGCAGGGCTTCAGGGAATGTATCTTCCTTGGGTCTGATTCCTAAGAAAGCTGCCCTCCTAGAGAACCAATCCCAGGTGGGCATTCAGGAAGGCTCCTAAGGAAACCCTTGCAGTTCAGCTGAAGACTGATGCTCGGAAACCCCACACAGCCTGGCTCATGGGCCATGACCCCAGCAGGATCCACTCACCTATGCCGGTCAATGCAAGGGGGTCTGCTGGGCACAAGAGCTCACTGAAAGACACGGGAAAATGGGGGCTCAGGAAGGAGCCACCAAAAAGCCCCACCCCTAGGTAACAGCGGCGCTGACACCAAGCCCACATAGTGAGCCTGGGCTGCCTCATGGAGGAGTGCAGAGTCAGGTTTGGGCACCCTCTAGATACCCTCAGAGCCTCCAGGTCTCTAGCCCAAAATACAGTGGATCTCACAGGGAACTCATAATTCCTAGCATCCTCTTCCAACATTCTCACCCAGGCTGGGCCTCAGCGTAATCCTATTGAGCATGATTTTTATGTCATCACCTCTCTTCAGACAATATAAGGTTCTCATCATCGACCCAACCCAGGGCACTCCCTCCCCATCAATGCATCCAGTGGGACCCGGATGTGCTTACCATAGCTCAATGCAGGAGACGAGGGCATCAGGAAGGGCCCCATCTTCAGTGCACTGGGGCTGGGCACTTGACTGACAGACGTTGGCCCAGGGCCATTGGATCCAATGCAAGTCTTCCTCAAGGTTCAACATCTGGGGAAACAGGAGTAGGACAGGTGTCCAAACACAACCTCATCCCTCCATGGAGGCAGAAGGTGGGGTGTGGTGGCTCAGGGATGCTCACCCTCCATGGACCCATGTGATAGGTTCCATGTGGAACACTGGCCCGTCGCAGACGCAGGGTACCCTGTGCTCTCTCAGCCACCAATCCTTGAAAGGACAGGGCAGGCGGGTCACTGGGGTCGGGCAAGAAGCCCCAGCTGTGTCCTACTGCAGACCCTATGAGCACCTCCACTGCCCATGCCGGCTCCACCACATGACCCCAGCATCATGCCAGGTCTACTGGGCACAGACCAGGGCCACAAAACAGCTCATTGCCAACCAAAGAGGCTAGCCCAGATGCCAGATGCCACTGCAAAGCTGGCAGTCACATATCCTGCCCCTGTGCACTGTGGGAACCCACCCACGTGCCCTATCACAGCACGTACTAGAGTCCTTACATGCCTGGAGTCCCAGGGCCACATGCTCTCTCTGGTGGGTCCCCATTCATGCCCCACACACCTCCTAACACAGAGCAGGGCCACACTTGGCTATTCAGGGGACACATGGTGACTTCTCCTTTCCTTGGGCACAAGACTCACCATCCTGGAGGTGACCCCATGGGTCAGAAGCAGCATGGGCGGCATATTCCAGGGACAAGACCCTTGAGAGCAGGCCTTCCACCTCAGGAGGCCACCCTTCCAGACACTTGCCCACAGGAATGGGGTGAATTTCAGCCAAGGAGAGAACCTCAGCAATACGTGGACTGACCCCTTGGCCTAAAGCTAACGAGTCCATGGTCAGACTGCAGCAACACCAGGTGCCAGCCTGAGCTCAGCCTTGACCCAAACCTAGGGAAATAGCACCGCCCCCTCCAGGCTCAAAGAGGTGCCACGGGTTGGCATATTGCTCAATTGGTCCATGCCATTCAGGGCAATAAGTCATGTGCGATCCTTGAATATCTGCAGCTCAACTCCATGGGCCCTAGCTCACCTTTCTCCACAGATGGAGAGCTCTTGTGTGACCCCATGGCATCCCAGAGGCCCTGTGGACCCCCTCATGCGGCCTAGACAGTCCTCGAGGTCACAGCAGCACACGAAGACTCAGCTGGGAGCTGATCTGTGTGAGATTGAAGGAACCCTCTCCTGCCTGGATGACTGTCATCCCCACAGGACTCCAGGGAAGGTGTACTCCTTGGGTTCGATTCCTCAGGAAGCCGCTTTCCTAGAGGATCAACCCTTCCATCCCTGGTGGGCATTCAAGTCTGTTCCCTAAGGAAACCCTCCTGTCCTGAAGGCTGACCCTCAGCGACTCCACGC